ACTAATACATAATCATATGTCCATAATCATTATCTCAATCTACATTCTCAAAAGACGAGTTTATTACAAGTAAAACAAGATATATAGAAAAAATTAACTAAAACACAGGGTCTACCAACCGAAGCAGAAAACAATGTTTATAAAGGATATGAAATAATATCAATGTTTCCTTGAAAGTATCTTTATAAAATCTTTATATAGTATTCAAAAAGACAATACAAAGAGGCAACTTGGACACCCCCACTTTCGGGAGAACATCATTAATTTTTTGATTTTGACTTTTGTGTTTTCAAAAAATAAAAATAAAATGAAAACATGTGTAAGTGGTTTGGGTTGGTTAACCAGCGGTTTGATACTTTAAACCATGTTCGAACTGACCCGCCATGATTTTGTTTAAAATAAAACCAAACCAATTAAATATGTCAAACCGATGTGAACCAATCGGAGTCTGTCGGTTCAATCGGTTTGGTCGATTTTTTTGCCCAGACCTAATTCCAACTTTTTGTGTCATAGAAGAGCTATTATCTTACAAGTATGATAGTGCATCTATTGCAAAAAAATACATTACTTGAGAACCAAAAAATTCTTGTTATCATCTCAAGATCGAAGAATGTGTATTTTTCATATAGAATCATTTTAGGAAATTTTCCGTGCAAGATAAATCATGAACAAAAATTTTAACGATAAATGTTTGATCTGTAGGCCAACACAAATCTTTGTTTTCTAAGATCTTTCACTGACTATTACAAATTCAGTGAGTGTGTTTTTCTCCTATGAGCCTTTGTATCCGCGATGACAACTCAGGTTCGAAGTCAAGCTGTTCAAAAGTGAAACGGAATTATGCGGAGCGGTTAGAAGATAAAATTCCAAATCAATTGAAAAAGAGAAGAAATTAACACGATTTTCGAAAAAAAGTACATAACTTTTAGCCCGGTGTCAGATTTTTGCCGATGGATACAATTCGGAAATGTTTTTCAATTCTACACATTTTTACCAAATTACATTGTCAGACTTTCGTGTCAAATTCCATTGTTTAGGAGACCATTTTAGCATTATTTTTGTTTTTAGTTAATTTAAAGATATTTTTGTCTTTTACAATTCTTTTAATGTTATTTGGATTTAAATATAGAACTAGATTTTCAACGTGGTTAGAATTTGTTTTGAGTCTATAAATACGCGTTAATGTTGTAAAAATATTACATTTGTTTTTTGATTAATAAGATATTTCACTTTTTCCCGTTATTTGGTGGATTCCAAATATTTATTACGTTGGTTCAAACAAAATATAAGCAAGCCCTTGTTTGTATATTATAACAAGATCATTTTATTATCATTCACATATCTGTACCCAAGCCGCACTCGTGCTCAATATTTAGCAGTCTTGCAGGAAGCATTCTGTTTACCATTTCTACGAGGTGTAAAAATTAGTCATGGTTTTTGCTTCAAAAATTAACTTTTTTGATATATTTGGTGGATCCAATAACGATTAGTTTAATCTTGTTCGACGTTTGGTGCAAATAATAAATCGATTAAATTACTTCTACAAATTTATACTCATTTAATCAACTGGATTAGAATAAGGAAAATACTACTTGTAC